TAAATTCACTCAAGAACTATTAAAAAGAATACCCTACTCAAACTAATATTATGGAAAACATATTACAGTTTTTAACCTGCTAATCATTAAACTTCTTTAAAGTATTGATTTCATGCATCATTAGAATACATATGCCATTTATAAGTTATTAAACTCACAATACCCAAGACTTATATCTGCTCATTTTTTATTATAAAAAATTGACCTGAATAAATATAGGCATATGCTTAACTGGATTAAATAAAATGGCAAACTATTATGGATTCAATAAACACATGTATTGTACATATCTTTTTAATGAATTATATAACTATTCAAAACAGAATGAAGGCCATGCTACTGAAATACCTTTACTCATAACTTGTTTGCTTACAAATGCTTTAGATATATAGACATATAGAGAAATTCACAAGTCTTTTGTTTGTGGGCTTTTTAAAAAAATATCTTCTGTGTTGGGTGGTTTGTCTAAAAATCAGAGTTCATTAAGAAAGAAATCATGTCTGGTTTGTTTTGGCTCGGGTGTTTTGTTTTGTTTTGTCTGACACTTGCTTTGTATTTCAAGCTTCTCTGAAACAATCTATGCAGATCAGCTTGGCCTTAAACTCATTGTCCTCCTGCCTCAACCTTTTGAGTGATAGAATCACAGGCATATGCCACCATGTTTAACTCAGAAGCTGTCTTCTTTTGCCCTAATTAGTGTTGAAGAAGGTAAAAACCCAGTGAATGCCATTTTGATATATTTTAACATAGGAGAATGATACTTATAAAACTCTTTTTAAATTTTATTTTTTGTTTTTATAATGAATTTCAGTTGTTTGCAACACGTCTTAGCCTCCCCCAGGCCTCTCCTGTTGCTCTATGCAACCTTCTCTTCCCAACAAGTCTCTTTTTGTTTTCTTGTCATGTGTATGTGTATGTAGGCATGTCTGTATGTGTGTATGTGTGTGAGAAACGAAGGAAGGAAGGAAGGAAGGAAGGAAGGAAGGAAGGAAGGAAGGAAGGAAGGAAGGAAGGAAGGAAGGAAGGAAGGAAGGAAGAGAAGGAAGAGAAGGAAGGAAAGAAAGAAAAAGAAAGAAAGAAAGGAAGGAAGGAAGGAAGAAAGAAAGAAAGAAAGAAAGAAAGAAAGAAAGAAAGAAAGAAAGAAAGAAAGAAAGAAAGAAAGAAAGAAAGAAAGAGACAGACACACATACACACACATACTGGGCATAAGTGAGTTTGACTATGGTTGCCACATGAGCATGGGTCAGGGTTATTTCTTAGAGCATTCTTACCAGTATTACACCACCGGGGGGTGGTGGTATAACAACTTCCCTAAACAACTATTAGCTGCCAATAATCCCTCAAGGAGGGATGGGGCCTCATGAGCTCCTCTTGTCCGTGTTAAATATTGACTGCTCAAGTCTTGTTCAACAGGTCTTATGTAGGTAATCATAGCTGCAGTGAGTTCCTGGTGCAATGGCTATATCTTTTACTATTTAAATTTTTATTTGTTTGGTGAATTGCATTCATGACTACTATAGTTATATGATTTCAACCCCTCACTTAATCCCCTTACAATGCCTCCCTGCTTTACTGATCCAAACCTGAAAGAAAAAGGGTCCTGAATTTGAAGTGTTGAAGAGGACCAGGGAGGAGAGAATAAAGACAAAAAGCCTGAATCAATAGGTCTAAATGAACAGATGTCTCCTCCCAGGAAGCCTGTTAAGAAGTCCTGCATCTTCTACACTGTTTGCAGGGGAAAAGAGACAGAGACAGCAAAAGCTAGCACACACTGGGATGGAGTCAGCAGGAAACTAGTCAAGCAGTGTTGCACGAAGGGATCACAGCATTTCTCAAGTGTGTTATGCATGTAAACACAGCCTTGAGACCAAGAGCAACGGCCCTTCAGTATGTGTGTGGGGGTCACTTTCCCAGGTACCAAAAACTTTAACTCCTTTGGTCCCCAGCCCCAGCGCACAGCTTGCCAAGTCTGTTTCTGGGCAGGGACACACAACTAGCGTTTCTTTGTCCTTTCATCAGGGCTCTAAGAAAGCTATGGATTGGCCCAGCCCCCAACATCAATCCCTCTTAAATTTATGACTCATCTATAATTGTTAGTGTTTTACATACACACACACACACACACACACACACACACACACACTGAACCCATTTGTGTTGCTTCTATGTGCATGTGTTTAGGGATTACCACAGGGTTATATAACCTATCAAAGGGCTTGTCCCTGAAAAAGACCAACCTCCGTCGTCTTTCAGTAGCCATTGATGGCCGCTAGGTCTCCATCCAGTGATGCGACCTTGTGAATTTCCCCCATACACACTGGCATGTGAACTAGGATTATCATTATTCAGGTCTTGTTTAGACAACCATTCTGTTTTATAGGCCAACTTCCCTGACATGTCTTGAAGACCCCATGTGGCAACATTTTTTTCTGGTCTTCTGGCTCTTAACATTGCTCTGGCCCCTCTTCTGAGTCCCCTGAGCCTTAGGTGTACCTGTTGTGTTATAAACATTCCAGATGAGGCTAGGTACTCTGTGGTATGTTTATACAGCACATCTCCCATCTTGTTCTTTCTGCCTCCTCTATCCCAATATTTCTTTAGTGTTGGAGGGGATGATATAACCATAGGGTCAAGCATTCTAGCTTTATTCAAATGCTCTGGTTTCCCAGTTTTCAGTAAGAATCAAAATTCAACTTACTTATTCAGTCTTGATTTATATCAAAATAAAAATAATTCATGTGTTCTAAATAAAGGTTTTTTTTTAAAAGAGTATCGATTGGTTGTATTACGTGCTGAACAAGCATGTGTTGCTAAGCATGTTGGGCTTACCAGCTTTGTTACACTGCATGTCTCTACATATCTATACCATATACCTACCACATGAGCAGCCCTTGTGAGAATATGGTACTGCGTCATTGATGGGGCGCTCTGATTAAATTTCTTTTATATGCTCACCTAGTTTTTGGTTTATTGTTTTTTGAAATACATAATGGATTAAGTGATGATTTTTTTTGAGGATATAGTAATTTTTTTTGCTTCATCTATTTTGTATTACCATAGCATCTACAATAGAGAAATAGAAATGTTAAAAACAAAATTGACTGGCATTTTGAGAGCACCTGGGAGATGGGGAGTCAATTTCCTTTAATGGTAGTAGGTACATCACACTCTCAAGGATGGTTGGGCAGTACAAATTGGACTTGGTGGTTTAAAACAAACAAACAACAAAAACAGAAGAAAACTCAAAGTTGAGAGGGAGAGAGAATTTAGGGGAAGTATGTATGAATATGATCAAGATAAACTGTATGGAATTTTATAATTTTTTAAAAATTTGTATTAATTATAGTTTATTCACTTTGTATCCCAGCTGTAGCTCCCTCCCCCACCCAATCCCACCTTCCCTCCCTCCTCTTCCCCTTTGCCTGTCCCCCAGTCCAATGATAGGGGAGGTCCTCCTCCCCTTCCATCTGACCCTACTCTATCAGATCTCATCAGGATTGGCTTCTTTGTCTTCCTCTGTGGACTGGTAAGGCTGCTCCCCCCTCAGGTGGTGGTGATCAAAGAACTAGCCCATGAGTTCATGTCAGAGACAGTCCCTGTTCCTATTATTGGGGAACCCTCTTGGACACTGAGTTGCCATGGGCTACATCTGTGCAGGGGTTCTAGGTTATCTCCATGCATGGTCCTTATTTGGTATATCAGTCTCAGAAAAGACCCCTGGGCCCAGATTTTTTGGTTCTGTTGTTCTCCTTGTGGAGCTCCTGTTCTCTCCAGGTCTTACAATCCCCCCTTCTTTCATAAGATTCCCTGCACTCTGCCCAAAGTTTGGCTATAAATATCAGCATATGTTTTGATGCCCTGCTGGATGGAGTTTTTCAGAGGCCCTCTGTGATAGGCTCCTGTCCTGTTCCCTGTTTTCTCCCTCTTCCATTGTCTGTCCCATTTGTCTTTCTGAATGAAAATTGAGAATCTTACCCAGGGTCCTCCTTCTTGATAAGCTTCCTTAGGTGTACAGATTTTAGTATGATTATCCTATATTATATGTCTAATATCCACTTATAAGTGAGTATATACCATGTGTGTCTTTTTGCTTCTGGGATACCTCACTTAGGATGATCTTTTCTAGATCCCACCATTTGCCTGTAAATTTCATGATTTCCTTGTTTTTAATTGCCGAATAGTATTCCATTGTGTAAATGTACCACAATGTCTGTATCCATTCCTCAACTGAGGGGCATCTAGGTTGTTTCCAGCTTCTGGCTATTATGAATAAAGCTGCTACGAACATGGCTGAGCAAATGTCCTTGTTGTATACTTGAACATATTTTGGATATATGCCTAGGACTGGTATAGCTGGGTCTTGAGGTAGCACTATTGCTAATTATCTGAGAAATCGCCAGATTGATTTCCAAAGTGGTTGTGCATTCCCACCAGCAGTGGAAGAGTGTTCCCCTTTCTCCACAACCTCTCACACATTCATCCAGCATGTGTTGTCACTTGAGTTTTTTATCTTAGCCATTCTGATTGGTGTAAAGTGAAATCTAAGGGTTGTTTTGATTTGCATCTCCCTGATGACTAAGGACATTGAGCATTTCTTTAAGTGTTTCTCTGCCATTTGATGTTTTTCTATTGAGAATTTTCTGTTTAGCTCTGTACCCATTTTTTAATTGGGTTACTTGATTTGTTGCTGTTTAACTTCTTGAGTTCTTTATATATTCTGGATATTAGCCCTCTGTCAATTGGTGAAGATACTCTCCTAGTCTGTAGGCTGTCGTTTTGTTCTTATGACAATGTCTTTTGCTTTACAGAAGCTTTTCAGTTCCATGAGGTCCCAGTTATTGATTGTTGATCTTAGATTTAGACTAACCTAGAGACTGCCTTGTATCAAATTTCACAAGCCACTAATGACATTTTGTTCCATTTGTAGTGCATGAAGTCACTCGGGTTTGGGAGGAGTATCTGAAGGTTGACCTGAGCAATCTCTGTGTGTTTGTGTGCAGCACCTGTTCTTCCTGGAGCTTACCAGCAGAGCCATTCCCAAGGCTATGGGTACATGCACCAGACCAGCGTGTCATCCATGAGGTCAATGCAGCATTCACCAAACCTAGTAAGTGCTGATTGCAAACATTCCTTCTATCTGGGAGTATAGCTGGGTAGTCAGGTACTTATGTAGGACCTAAGGTTCTTAGCTCAACTCCCAGCACTGGAGAAAAAAGTCAGCATAGTATTATCTATATGGCTCTTCCAATGGAAGGAAAACAATTACCAAGGTAAAATGATGAAGAAAAACTGGCATTAATAAACATCACATAAAACAATAAATCAAACAAGATATCTACCAGTGTGAGATCCATTTTAGTTAGTTTTATACTGCTGTGATAAAATACCATGACCAAAAGCAATTTAAAGAAGGAAGGGTTTACATGGGCTCATGTTGTATAGGAGCCTGGGCAAGGAGGCATGGTGATGAGAATGGGAAGCAAAGAGATCACATCTCAACTATAAGTACCAAGGAGAGAAAATAAACCAACACTAGGGCAAGGCTGTATTCTCCCAAAGTCAGCCCACAGTGACATCCTTTCTCTAGCAAGGCCACATCTGCTAAACCTTATCACAACTGGAGATCAAATATTTGAACATCTTAGCTTATGGAGAACATTTCCCACTTAAACCACCACTTCATTATTGGAAAGATCCCATAATGATCTTTAGCCAGGCCCAAGGAGGTACAGGAATGTGATAGTCATGTTAAAGACTTAACCTTCATGTTCATGTTCACCATGGTGGTCTCAGCAGTGTAATGGACACAGGCAAAATAGCTAACATAAGCTTAAATGTTCTGCGCACACACAAATAGTAAATGGATATTCCAGTTACTCTGATCTGACAGACACTGTATCCAGGTATTGACACGTCATGCTAAACCACACATATGTTCATTTCCTGTATATCAATTAAAAGTCAATGCTGAGAAGTAGGTGACTATTCTTTAAGGAAGCCAATTGCTTTCAGGTTTGCTGTGTGCCAGCCAGTTTCCTCAGTTTCCTTAATCTCTGAATATTCTTGGCTTTAAGATTTACTGATTATCAACATTAGATGAACTCTTAGCCTTGAACTAAAACAAATATAAAAACACAATTAAATTTTTTTCACTATAACAAATTTTTATATGTACCTCAAAAATCAGAACATTTATGTAGGAAATTTATAACGCTGTGATCTGAAAATGTAAAGTTTAAGTAAATTAATTCCTTTATATATTTTTAAGGGGAACAAAAATTCTTAGTACTTTCTTAGGAAAAGTTTACTTTCTGTGCAAGGGGGAGCCATTGGCAGAGAACAAATAGATTATGGGTCCACTGTTCTGGGGATGTTCATCTCCTGAAGAATGAGGGAAACAGGAGAAAATCTACATCACCTAACACTTCCTCGATTTTCTTTTCTTTACTTTTTCTTTCTTTTTTTTTTTTTTTTCTTGTGGGACCTGGTGATACTCTTTTGCAGGCTGCTTTTAAACAGGCACACTATATTATTTGTTGTCTTTCATTATTGTCTTTCCAAGTTAAGCTGTTGTGCTATCCTTCTGGATCTTTGCTTTGACCTTAAATATGTTCCTCTAGACGAACAAAGTTGAGGCTTATAGAATTAGGTGGTACACCCGGTTTACATCTCCCCAAAGATAGTGATGATAGTAAGCATTCATACTCATCATGTGTGGTGGTTTGTTGGGGCCCAGGTTTCTAACTGTGACTACTTTGGAATACAACATGCAATCACGTCTTTCTTCCCCAGAGGACCTACCGAGCCATGTACGATTACAGTGCCCAGGATGAAGACGAGGTCTCCTTCCGAGATGGTGACTACATTGTCAACGTGCAGCCCATTGATGATGGCTGGATGTATGGCACCGTGCAGAGAACCGGGAGAACGGGCATGCTCCCAGCAAATTACATTGAGTTTGTCAATTAATTCTTGCTCCTTGCCCTTTGAGCTTTATTCTCATGTATTCGAAGCCCAATCTTTTTAAAAGATAGAAGATACTTTTCAGATAACTTGGCAATTATTTTACAATAATGTAACCTTACTTTGACAATTAGACACACAGGTACCAGGAAAAAAGGAATGACTTTAGGGCTGGAAACAGCAGCATCCATAATAATTCCTGTAAGCAAAATAATTAGGTCTGGAGATCTGGTGCTGCTAATTGTGTTTGTGTGGTTTCATTTGATTGGCTATCCAACCTTCTGGAAAATGTATTTTTGTAGACCTTAATAGAGATGTTGATTGTCCATTAAATGTAACAAATGTATAAAACTTCTTAGCTGTCACTTGGAATCATCCAAAGCCAATTCTGATAGTTAAGCAACACAGCCAATAATTTAAAAACTGTCCAGCTTTTGAATCGGGTAATTTTCAATCCAAGTGAGACTGGCCTACTATAACAAATAGAAACAGTGGCAGAATGGGTCTGATTAAAATCGTATTGACTGTAGCTTTAGGGAGCTGGCAGGAAACTTGCCCTTTCCTTAAGCTGACTAAGAACTAGTTATTTCTCATGTGTTACATGGTGTAGCCTATCTCCATTTACGTTCTGTGGAGCAGAGCATCTGCTCAGGTCCCCAGAAGGTCAAGACCAGGTAACTTCACAGCTACTCTGCAGAGGGCAAAGTTCAATGTCATCTGTATTATTTAGCCAGTCACTTCTATCCTGTTGCATGTCTCTGTGGGCTTAAGCTTCTGTAACATGGCAGCTGCTTGCCCATCCTTGCTATTAATTTCAACAGTGTAGCCCACCTCTCCCTGCCCTTCCTTCCTGTTGCCCGTGTGTCAGAAAATGTTTTGAAGAGTTGCCTGAGACATTCTTGCTGTATTACACTCTAGTTTTGAAAGACTCATGCCTTAGGAAATACACATATACACTGGTAAATAAGAGATCTATGCATTTGCTGGATAGCTTTCATTCACTTAATACCACCATTAATTTAAAAGTGAAGTAAACTGAACAGCGTCCTGTGTAAGGGCGCATGGACTGTAAAGTATACTGGAGGAAAACCAAGGCCCCGAACAGTTAGCAGAGGTCGGCTCCACAATCAGTCGATCTGGTCGTAGAATTTGGCAGTCAGTCTTCATACTCTGGGATGGAAATCTAGCCAGTAAGTACGTTCATAAAAAAGCTTTATTCCCCCACCCTGGTTTTTGTTTTCTAAATCACCTCCAGGGTTAGATAAGAATATCCTCAGTGATTGAGGGGGGCATGGAGGTTCAGCAGACAATTCACTAAGAAAGAAATCAGTGTCTTGTTTTGTTTGAATGTGCAGGAGTTTTATGGATTCACAGGCCCAAGCACAACCATTACTGCTGTGTCTTAAATTTGGTCTGGAGTCTGCACTCGCGGTTACCTGGATGTTGACATTTATCGCAACTCTGCTTTTCTCCTGGGCCCTCTTACTGTGACAGGCAGCTGGGTGACATTCAGGTGGGATATGAAATTGAAGAGAGCAAAATCACAAAAAAATGTAAGAAGACACTGGGCCTATGGAAATATCTGTCTTACACAATATGTTTAAGGAAACAAACAAAGCATCCACCAGTGAAAAGCATTTGAAAGAAATGTTTATGAGGCCAAAGCCCAAGGTTGGTTCATTTAAACCTTTGAAAAGTAAGCCCATACTTTTGAAAATCATTAGTTTCATTAGAATTGCCTTTAAGAGAAGTTTTATTACATTGAGGCATATTTCTGTGACACTGACAGAAAATTGAAAAGAAACTTCTTCAAATAAGATGTTTTTCTGGAAAGGTTTTTTGTTTTTGTTTTTAAAATATCGACTCATAAATAAAGAGCTCACCGAGTTTCCTGTCATTTAAATAGCCAGTCATGAGTAACTTTCCTGTTTTCATGTCTGGAATACACACCTACAAAGACAAACTGCAGTTGCAATAATTTTGCGAAAACCATGGGTGATAAACTAGCTCCTTTATGCTGTTTGTCTTTTATGCTTCCCCAGACAGATCACTTGTGTGTGTATGTGTGTGTGTGTGTGTGTGTGTTTGTGATTATCAAGAAGAAGAGTAGTTGCTAATGAAAACTTCAGGACAAATGCAGGCAGGTATGATTTTTTTATAATAGCATGTGTACAGGAAGTTCAGGAAGTTCAGTGGAAGCCAACTTTGCAGTGATGCTTAATATCAGCTTAGTCTCGTTAAGTGGCAGCTTGAGAGTCCTTGTTTTTGCTGCTCATTAATTTCAAACTTGATGTGAAAATCAGTACATACTTAGGAAATAGGTATCCTAAATGTTGAGTTTCACATAAATGTTTGCACAGCAAGATACTTCTGTTTTAAGCCTTTCAGAATTAAGATGTGATCTGAATTCTATAAAGGACAGTTATTTTCAATATAGACTGAGGAAGAACAAGAGATTGTATGCCTTTGAGGATATACATTGATAATCTTGACATTGTTACTCGCACATGTAAGGATGTTACCCATCTCAGCAGAAAATAGCAGCATAGATGTGTCATAACCAGGTGCCATCGTTTGCAGCACCACTTTAAAAGATACTACATTCTTGACACCCTTTTCACTTCTCACATGCCACCCTCCCACTTGCGGTTTGGCAGCTAGTATCTCACATGTAACGCTGACAGCTATAGAAGAACTTACAAACAAGCCCTTTAGAACTCAAGTTAAAGGACTAAATGCCAAGCGCAGAGAGCATGCACCTGTTCCTAAATGGGATGGATTCTCAAGCTTGACAGCCGCACAAGAAGCCGCTTGCTCACTCCAGAGCAAGGCTCTGAAGACAAATGCATTTGCTTCATATTTCTCTTGAGAAAGTTTAGCAATAGAATATACTGCTTTTTGTTGTAAGCTTTTGTAGCAGATTAAAAAAGATTTCTTGTTCTTTAGAAAGCGTTCTGTTTCTAACCTGTGACAAAATGAGTGCTTCATGTCTTCACTTTGTTTGCGCATCCACAGCACAGCCTCGTTTGAAATTTTGATCTGGTTGTCATTCTCCATAGAGGCCCTGTATCTTCCCATGTCCCCCAGCCTTCACAGAGTACCCAGGGATGTCTAAGCACAATTTCCAGCACCTTGTATGGGGATAGATGAGATTAGTTCAGTCCCTCTCTTGCCACTTGGCCCTTTCCTTAAAGATAAAGATGTTGTTGGCCAGTTTTACTATACCCTTTCACTCCAGATCCATTCTGTGCTGGGTTCATACCATTCCAGGAATCAGGGAGAAACCATTTCCATAAATGAGAGTAAGTGACAAAGCTAGTTTTCAGTTCCACCCACCTCCAGTGGAATTCTTTCAGTGAAATGAAAATGAAAATAAGTGTGATCTTTAATAACACAGCCCCATGTACAATGGACATAGTTTATACTAATGTTATACTATAGGTATATACAAAATAGGTGCCTTTTGATTATGCTTGTTTAACATTGTAGTCTTGGAAAGGAAACCAAGCACCAAACTTCTGCATATTCTGTAACAGTATTTTATGATGCACTATTGATATTTTTGTGGTGAGAAATGGGATGCCCCTGACTGAGAGTTGTTACAGGTGGTGAGTGATTGTATTTTCCTCCTAAGGGTTTAGAACTTTAGAAAATGTTGACTTCAATATTTTGAAAAGTTAGTTTTTTTGTGGATTTATATATATTTGAGATATAGAAGCATTAAGTTTAGGTTTGTGTTTAAAATTCTTATGGTGAGATAGATTAGTTATATTATGAGGCTGAATTCACTGAATAAGATGAGCTTTATGATTTGATTATATTTTAACACTCTGATAATCTGAATTATTGCATTTGTATGGGGCACTACAACATGACGATAAAGCTTCAGTTAAGTAGGAAACTATGTAAGCTAATTTAGAGATGCTAAAAACAAAAGTCTCTCTGAAGTATTCCATGCCTCTTGGGATCCTTTTCCAGGTGAGTAGCTGTCAATAACTGATGACCAAAAAAGTCAAGACATTGTGCGAAACTGCTGTGGTCATCATTCCAGGTGTGTAAGAATTGTCAAGCCTGGAAGGCTTCCTGGGACAATATCCTTCCCAGTTGTCTGTAACTTCACTGTATCCACAGGACCTCCACATACGTACTGTGTGTGATAGATTGTATCATGTTTGCATAGCACACACTTCACTGTTGTTTATTATTGTTAAAGATGATTTCCTTTAAAGGAAAGAGAGAAAACTGCATTGCAGCCTCTTTCCTTCATGTCCATACAATGAGTTGCAGCGCATTTCAAAAGTAGCATCAAGTGTGTAACAGGCACGATATTTGACCTGTGAGAAAAACACAAATTTGAATGATGTAGTTTGGCTTCTGTCTGCTTTGAAATATGCACAATTGTGATTTGTGATTAATTTGTAAAATTGTACTAACTTTGAGAACACAATGATTTTGAAAGAAGCGTTAAATGTTTTTTTCTTTTTTTTTTTTAAATGGAAGGGGATCACAGGATGATAAAAGGTTATTAGTATAATTTGGCTTTTGTTATGCAAGTTGTTACCACCAGCTATTAAAATATATTTTAGTAGAAATGCTTTAATTCATGTTTTTTTTTTCCTCTACACTGTGAATCTTAAGCCTTCGTGGACCAGAGACACATTGTGATGTCCGAAGGACTGACCTATGCAAATGAGTTCCCATCTTATTGCTGTCACAGGAAACATGTGCTAAGACATCATTTCTCCTCCTACTGTGCAGCAGTATTGAAACAACACAGGAACCCCGGCCTCCCGGGCATTACACTGTCGTCGCTCCCAGCGCTCCCAGTGCTCCCAGTGCTCCCAGTGCTCCCAGTCCCTTCCAGCCGACCAAAGTCATTAGCATTTGTGTAGATCACATTGGTATCTATTGAAACGACTTGAATGATAGTGGGAGGAAAATGATAGACAGGCGTGTTGGCTGTGGCTTTCATGGAACTATGTTCTCACATCATCTCTGTTTAGGGTCTTGGCATCCTGTGTCTTCTCTCTGTATTTGTAAAGCATTATGTTGAACTAATTTCCTAGCAACACATTTGGTTTGCTTAAATAAATACAGGATATAACAAAATTGTTCCACTTCTTGGCTGTCACCGTGGTTTCTTGGAGCACAGGTCACTGGGTACAGGCAGTACACTGGGAGTTCCTCCTGGCGAATCACATCCAGTCACACAATGGGCATTTATTTTGCAAAGCTCTGCAGAATGTGTTTTCCTCCCCGAAACTAGCATAATTTTAAGTAATAATAATATGCTTTTTAATCCCACACTCTTCCCAAGTATTGCTGTAATGCATACTGGTTAACTTTTTTTCAAAACCAGTCTTCACTGGCCCAGTGTTAGTTTTATTGTATTTAAGAGATAAAAGAAGCAATTTGGAGGAGAGAACGAGCAGATTGATACTCTGATCTTTTATCTAAGACTGTCTCTTTATCATAGAGCATAGTTGCTTCTTTTCTCATAATTAAAGCATAAGCTAGCTCCTATTTTTACTCTCAGCTACATCTCAATAAATTGTATCTCGGCTTCATTGTGTTATTTAGTAAAAATCTCTGGTATAATCCTCCCAAACTGTAAACTAATAAACTTTGTAGACTGGTGCCTTTAGAAGAGGTCAGTGGAAAAGCGTTGCAAGTGGTATTTTCTAATAGAGTAAACACTTCTGCCAAATCTTGAATGATCTGTTTTTCCTATTCAGTTAGTTTAGACTGAATATCTGTGGCATTGTGAATCAGACATAGTCATGAATAACACAGGTGTCTGTTTACTTGAAGAATTTACTATCCCTTCTTCCAAGACTTTTTTCATTTCATGATTACAATTGTACTCTTTGGGCCACAGAGGAAATGAATAACTATTCTATAATAATTTACATTTCAAATGTTTTATGCTTATAATTTTATTATTCTAATTTAAAAATTTGTGAAGTTAATTGAAGAATTGAGATGTGGCTGAGTACTGGATACTTATCAAAAATCTCTACAAACATACCCGGATATAATATACTGGAAAATAGATGAAAGGAAAATTTTATTATTTTCTTTTAAATTAAATTTTTCTTTTTTAATTATTTAATTATTTTTATGAATTACAGTTTATTCATTTTGTTTCACCCCTGTACCTCCCTCCCTCCTCCCCTCCCAATCCCATTCTCTCTCTTCCCCACCTGTGTCCCTCTCCCAGTCCACTGATAAGGAAGGTCCTCCTCCCCTTCCCTCTGATCCTAGTCTATCAGGTATCATCAGTAGTGGCTGCATTTTCTTCTTATGTGGCCTAGTAAGGCTGCTCCCCACTCAGGGGCAGGTAATCAAAGAACAGGCCAACCAGTTCCTGTCAGAGACAGTCCCTGTCCCCATTACTAGGGAACCCACTAGGATACTGAACTGCTATAGGCTACCTCAGACAATTAGGAATAGTGCTTCCTCAAGATTCATCTATACCACTCCTAGGCAAATATCCAAAAGAATCTCAAGTATACAACAAGGACATCTGCTCAACCATGTTTGTAGCAGCTTTATTTGTAATAGCCAGAAGCTGGAAACAGCCCAGATGCCCCTCAGTTGAGGAATGGATACAGAAATTGTGGTACATCTACACAATGGAATATTACTCAGTGATATAAAAAAACAACAACAACAACAACAACAAGGAAATCATGAACTTTTTATTTTTTATATTCGTTACAGTTTATTAACTTTGTATCCCAGCTGTAGCCCCCTCTCTCATTCCCTCCCAATCCTACCCTCCCTCCCTCATCTCCTCCCTTCCCCTCTCTAAATCCACTGATAGGGGAGATCATCTTCCCCTTCCATCTGACCCTAGCTTATCAAGTCTCTTCAGGACTGGCTGCAATGTCCTCCTCTGTGGCCTAGCAAGGCTATTTTCTTTTTGTAATCTGCTTCTCCTATACACAAAGTGTTTTGTGATGGCAGAAAAATGGATCAAGTCCAAGGGTGAGCTTCAAATTTTTTTCTGTAGTTCTAAGTAAAATTCTTTGTTTTTTGTCTATTATATTTTTACTTGTAAGTAGAAGTCTGAATGAAAAAGGGAGAGTGAGAGAATGGGCCTAGGATGAAAGTCATTAGAACAAAGGGCCCAGTTGCTGATTTGGGTTTATGTCAGGACATTTTGATCTTCTTTGCAGCTTTCTTTTTATTTTTGGAATAGTGAATATGAAAAGGGGATGTTTCTGGATCCTCACGTTTGATTTGAGATTGCTCTTTCTTGACACACAGTAGTCACATTTTTTTTTTTTTTTTGCCTTTTCCCAGAGTGGTTGCTAACTAAAAGAAACACATTCCGGATCATTGCTCGTTCTATGTGGGTTGCCGGGCTGTCTCGCGTGAACTCATGCCTCAGTCCACAGCTGACTAGATCAAGGTGATCTGGGAGGACTGCTTAAGAACCTTGTCTATCAGGAATAAGAGAGGCACTCTGCTTGGATATCCCAAATACGTCTAAACTTGAACTCCTATAGAGATGGTTGTTAACTGGTTATAAACTGAAAACTGTTTAAGAATTTAACCTTATTAGGAGATGTAGGCTGAAATAAGATTGGGGGAGTTTGCAAATGCTCGTGATTTTTTTCTTTGTTCTGTTCTTTGTGTTTTGTTGATTAGTTTTGTTCTGACAGTAGCGTAAGGGAGTGTGGCGCACTTGATTTGCTCACCGCCTCAGGCCTCTTATCTTCCTCTCACTCTAGGCACCCCCCCTTCTCCTTTCAGTCTTTTCCATGCAGACACGCCTTTTTGTTTTGTTTTGTGCCCCACTGATTTTAACCAAGATTGTGTTCTTGATTTGATTGTGACTATAATCAGGTTCTGTGTGGCCACAGGTTTGGAAGTGTCCATCAGAGACTGGTAGGCTCACAGCTTGGCACACAGCTGAATACGGTGACTCCCCAGAATTTCTCAGTTGCCAATAGTTCAGCAGTCAAAGACGAGAGTCCTCCATATCCTGGATCAGCTGTTGATGGGCACAGTCATTTTAAGGTCTGTGCAGGAAGCTCTGACTGCTGTGAAGTCATATTTTCAGTGGCTGTGCCATGCCTTGAGACAACATTTCTCTGTATCTTTTGCCCTTTCATTCTTTTCTATTCTTTCTTCTACAAGATAAAGATGTTCTCTTAGATGGGACTGTATAAACGTCCTGTTTAGGTCTTACCTTCCAACCATCTCAAGCAGCCAGGAGTTTTTCATTCACCTCACTTCACTGCGCAGAAAGGCTTCTCTCATTACAGGTTACAGCAGCATTTGTCTGTTGGTATGAAAAACTTAGACTATAGTTTGGTGCCATATAAATTTAGCTGAAGAGTCATGGCATGGTCCCCCTAAGGTTTATGGCTTCCCAGCCATGAGATTTTGACTAAGTTCACAGAACAGACATGTATTCCCTTCCAAGTACACACGTAGCTGGTAACCTCCACGGCAGCTGGGCCACTGTCATCGATTTCTAAAGGCTTGAAATAGCTGGTGTCAGCTATACGACTGAACTGTTTACGGACATTTATTAAGAAATAATTTTACATAACTACTCAGTGGCAGCTCTTGGTTGAAGGGAATGTAGTAACTGTAATTTATTCATTCAGCATATTTTTTTGAGTTCTATATATTCAAAACACAGAACTTTCTCTCCAACCATTCAGGCAGGTAGCGAGAGACTGATACCAAACACCTAACTACATATTTCTGTAATTGATTGCTTCCTTACGGCTTAGGAGACAATGAAAGGGAATCCAGGACCGCTGTGAGTTCTTAGAGTCTTAAAGGGTGATGTGTAGACTACAGCGAGGGTCGGCGAACATATCCAAGCAGAGAGGGTTTGACCTGAGCTCTGAGAGCTGTGTGAAGAGCTGAGAGTTGAAGTCATTTGTAGCACTGGATACTCGGGGGATTCAGTCAGGCAGGAGCAGGCTTACACCAGTCCTCTCGCAAACTTTAATAACAGTGGCACATCATTTTCATATTTAATAAAACTAAATCTTTGCTGAAAGGTGATGCTGTGTGTGAGCTTGTGTGTTCACACAGCCTTTATCACTCTAATTATGACTTCTATTAACAAAAGACTCAGAAAATTGTTGGTTAATTATATAAACACAGCTTCAAAGGTGTGGTATATCTTCTTCTTGGTGTGACTTATTATTCCACGGATTTTTCTGTGTTTCTTTACCTTCCTGGGTGGTTTTAAAAAGTTGTTGGCGGAACCTCATGTAGCACTCTCTGCAGTACAAGCATTTATCACCATGCACATCTGTCTTGTTTTGGAATTCACAGATTCTGTGACTGTCATATGTAATGTCAGAATTAGCTATGCCACATTAACTGGGCAATGCAGGTGAAAATCATTCACAGTGCAAGAAAGTTATTGGTGTTTTTTAAGACTATCACTTTCCTCTAAGGTAGATCATAGACGTTTTTTTTAATTCTAGCAAGAGTGTTAAATATATATCTCTGGCATTGTATAGGTGTTTACTTCTGAAATAATTGATTGGCCATATTTTAGCCCCTTAATCGAGGCCTATTGAGAACACCTATTGGTATTGACAAACATTTTCCTTTTAGAAAAATATTTTGGCTTCAAAAACTGTGGAACATAAAGTGATTTATGGGCCTCTACACCTATGATATTGATGGAAAAGTAGCTGCAATTTTGAAATGTCCCTGTTTGTGTTGGAATAGCCAATTCCATTTAAGTTTTTTTTTTTTTTGGTTTTTAATCTGAAATAAAATTACATTAATTTTTTCATAAAATATATTTTCATTATTATTTCCCCTCCCTCAACTCCTCTCAGATCCTCCCCACCTGCCTACCTTGTTGCACTGAAGTCCACCGAAAGCAGGGAGGAGAATAATGGTCATCTACAGAGGCCCTTCTTGTCCCTTGAAGTGTGCTCCAGTGGTACAGCTGTCATCAGCAAAGGGAGAGATTCCAGCAAGCCACCTGCCTTTATTCAGCTGAATCCTGGTGAGGACAGGCAGAGCAGAAGTTCTGATTGTTTCCAGTCACCCATAACCTAGTTAGAAAGTCAGGGTCTCATTTCCTTGAAGACTGTTCAGCTCACTGCAAGTTGAGATAACACAAAATCTTCAGGATACTGACAGGTTG